TGCTGAAGTTTAGCAAACAGCCTGACTACTCATCACAGTCAGACCCAGCCAGTCCCAAGTCTCTTCTGCTCTTACCAGGTTTATGAGACAGCAGGTTTGCACTTCAGATGTTCATTTATAGAGTGCTAGACTACACCTGCTTCTCCTGCTGTGTGCCAGGCACATGCTTTAGGGAAAATTATTTTAAAATCACATCATCTTAATCAGCCTTACCTTCTAAAATGAGCTACCTGTTAAGGATCAAAACCTCTGATTCAAGCAGCCTACTCACTGTCATTTTAAATATGATTTAACCTCTTTCTTGTCTTGCCTTTGCCCTTAAACTGGAGATGCCAACCATTTCTTCCACAGGAAACTCCTTCCCAGGACACTGCCAACCTCCCACCATTCCAACTCCTGTTGAGTGGTTCTTCAGAAAATAGATTATCAGAAAGCACTCACTGATTGTCTTTGGAAGATAACATGATCTGTCTTACAATTTTAAAAGCCAATAAATAAAAGGAAGTATTAGCCACTTATCCTTCCTTTTCTGTACAGTTCTGTATGAACTCTAGCTTAGGGTATTCAAATAGTTGATGGAATCTGATGAAGAAAGAATAACAAAACCATTATATGACCCTTATGAAAACTTTAATGAGTTAATGACTCTAGAAAGTGATATCAATAACTGTTTATATCACAAAAAGTAGACCATTAGATGTCTCTTAATGCAAGTGATTTGAGTCTCTAGACCAATGTTGCAGGTGTTGGTCACCATCCCAGACTGGACATGTTCATTATTGATTCCAGCAGAAATTTTAGAGCCTTTGGTATATTTGACAGGTCTTTAATGTTGAGTCATGAGACCAGCAGGCAGGGAGGCCGCCACTGAGACCCCTCGCTTAGAGTTATGCTGCCATGAACGCCAGCGCTCAGGAGGCTTTATGCTTCACTCCACCCAGGTGTCTGCATTTACATGTGCAGACAAGCGCCTCGCGCTTCCTAGCTTCTCAGCCCAGGTTTCTGAGGTTACAGGTGCTTGTGGCCTGTGCTTACACCCTCAAGCTCCCTTTGCAACAACATATTATCACCTGTGAGTGATGCAGCCTGGAAAGTGAAGGCTGAAGGTGCTGGCCACAGAGGCCAGAGGTGAGAAGGCAGTGACAAGTCTGACTTAACTCCACTTTCCCCACATAGGAAATGTAGATGACAGAGAAACATGTTAAGTGACACTAAAAAGGGATCCAATCACTGGAATCCATCTTGTGGGGGACTTTTCTAGGACAAATGGCCCAGTTTCCCTGATAAATTAATTGGAAAACTTGAGAGAGATAAAGGAGTCAACCTACAGACTAATTGAGACCTGAGTCCTGATAGGCAATTGTAACCTGTGGACCTTATTTGGTTCCTGATTCTACAAACCTAAAAAACATTAGGATGAACAAATGTGAACAGTGCCTGCATATTTGTTAATATTAAGGAAATGTTGTCTACTGGGGGGTGATGATAGTTTTGTGGTTTTATCTTTTTAAAGGAACCCTTAGCTTTAAAGCTACATATTGAAACATTTACAGATCTCTATAATGACCTCATGACCCCCCATAGTCATGAGGGGTGGGAAGCAGAGAAGTCAGGATGGTCCATGAGCTGATAGTGGTGAAAGTGGGTGATGGTTAATTTGAAGTTCACCATACAATTCTATATATCTGACATTTTCCTTCCAGAAAGTAAAATTAATTTTTTCTGTCATTTTCACTTTATTTTTTTTTTGCTTGTTTGCATTGGCCATAATATACTAATGTAATAGCTTATGTTCATTGTTTATAAATATATATCAGTTTTATTTTTAATACAGATCAGTTTTACTAATAAAGGTACAAAGGTTTTTCACTTTCCTATGTTTCAAACTTTTAGGTCGAGACTGGAAATTCAATGACAATAAGGACATTCCCATCACACCTTCCATGGGACTGACACTTGAAATGCAAGTGTTAAAACACCATCCCAGAAGGAGTGTTGCTCATGGTCCCCCATATGTGGGTCCCTCATACTCACATGAGGCCAGCTAAGGTTTGGAGACTCGCATGAGCAATCTCACCACTGGCAACAGCTTGTTAGATCAAGGTTTTATAAAGAGAACCAAAAAGATTGACACTAAATCTGCATTACAGAAAAATTTAGTGTACAATTCATATGCAATCCCAAATATGACACAAAAATTCTGATTTGAATGTTTACATGTTCCTCTCTCAGGTAGGCTAAGGTAAGGTGAAACCCGAGGAAGGAATGGTTGCAGATTCTACAGCTGCTGTCCCTGCTTTTTCTAAAGACAGGTGTTAAAGACAGAGGTCTCCTGTGTTCTAGCCCTTCTGATTTTAAAAAGCGTGCTCTCTCTCTTCTATGTTCACACTTGCCTAGGATTTCCTCATTTAACTGAAATTCTCACTTTAAAAAAAATATTTTTTTCTTTGAAGACCAATATAATTTTTCTAGTATCGTCATATTTTTCTCCACCAACATCCTGTATCTCGCCCTGTCTCTTTCCCTCACCCCCTCCCACTCTTAACCTCAGAATCCTGAGAACATTTACTAACATCCATTGGTTTTTAAAAGTGTTTTACATTACCTACTAGGTAAGTGTCTGGTATTTGTTTTTATTATTCTGAATTTGCTGCACATAGTTCTCTCAGATTCCCTCCATTTTGTTGAAAAAGGCTACATCTTACCCTGTTGACTATATATTAAAGCTCCATGGGGTGTACATACCACATCTTCCTGACCAAATGTCAGTGGACATTTAAACTGTTGTAAGTGATGCTGCTGTGAATTTTTGGGACACATGAACTTTGTGTGTATGGTTCCATATGCTGTGAATGTGTCCAAGAGTAGGATTTTTGGTCACATAGTGTTTGCATTTTTAGTTTGTTAAGGTAAATCCAGATTGATTTCCACAATGGTTGCACCAGTTCACACTCCCACCAATAGTATAATAGGGTTCATCTTTCTCCACATCTTCTCCAACACTTGTGGTTGAGGTCTTTTAAATATGTGCCATTCACAGGTTGTGATGGTATCTCGTTGTAGTTTTAATCCACCGTTCTCTAAGAAGTGATGAATATTTTTCATGTCTTTTAGCCTCCTGGATATTCTCTTTGGTGAAGCTCTCACTTTTCTCAATCCCAGAGACATCAAAGAACCTTCCCCACTTCACAAATCTGCTACCTGTCCCCAACATTTCTATCCTTAAATGTGATTTTTTATTTCGCTATTGGAACAATTCTTACCTCTTTGTCTGGAGTTCCACCACCCCTGGTAGTTGAGCCCCTAAGCATTGAACTTCAGGATTGAGGGAGGGTGGTTCTATCTGTCTGTATTGTTGTCTTATAGGAAAAGCAGTTTTCCACAGGACACTAACTTGTGAAAGAGTTGCCTCGTAGCAGAGCCTCTAACGATTTGATCAAAATTACCCAGGACCTGTGTTCCTTTGTTCATGGGCTTTCTGTTGGGTTGCTGCTGTCTCCTAGGAGACTGTAGATGGCCCCAGAACACCCATTTACAGAAAACTATACTTACTTAGCCCATAGTTGAAGAGGACAGCTGGTACTCACCCATTGCAATGCTTCAGAATGTGATTATATTCAATAACCATGCATGCAACTTAAATGTGTAAGAAATAATTATGATATAAAAGCCAAACCTACATGCCAGGCACAATACTACATGTTTTACAGAAATTAATTTATTTAATTAGTTCTATTCTTAGTCCCATTTTAAAGGTAGAGAAACTGAGGACACAGGAGCTAAGTCAAAGTAACAAAAAGACAGAGTGACAAGGCTAATAAGAGGGAGCCACACTCTGAGCCCAGGCAGCTCAGCCACAGGCACCCCTGTCTCCTGGGAGGCCGACTGATTCCAGGAGAGGAGAGGAAGCCTGCTTGAGTGGAAAAGTGCACAGACCACCACAAGTAAGAGAAAATGGAAGACAGAAAATTGCTAGGAAACACCTGAGTTTTTTTTTTTTAATGATATAATAGTTTATGTTTACATCATTTTGTGCCTTTTTCCATCTCTTGTAATCCCTATGGGCTTCCCACCACCAATTCACCCATATGCCGTCACCATAGTCCAGTGCACTCCCCCACCCCTTTTTGATCCTATTCCCCATTCCACCCCCATAAAATGTCTCTGGTATATACTTGTTCATTACTATTATTATTTTCTCACCTGGTCCTTTATACTCCTGTTATGAATGAAATCATCCAGTAGTTTTCCTTTTCTTTCTGCCTTATTTCACTAAGCATGACCCCTTCCAGCTGATCCCTTCTGGCTGCATCCATGTAGGTACAAAAGGCATAGAAACACCTGAGATTTTTTTTTTTTTAAAGATTTATTTATTTGTGCATACAGAACTGGGGTACAGGCCAGAGGCTCAGGGGCGGTGAGAAGATTCACCAGAGACAGAGCGGGGAGCAGAACAAGTGGATCAACGAAGTACACTGCTGAGGGGAGCAGCGGGTGGGTCAGGAGAGGTCTGCCACGCCATGTGGTCACCTCCTGGGCAGGCGGGGATCGAACTCATGCAGAAGCGGCCTTAGATTCTCAGTGCTGCGCTTTAACCAGCTGCTCCACCAGGGAGGGCCAACACCTGAGATTTTTGAGGTAAATCTTACTCCTGAGATTGAAGTACACAATGACCCTGGCTCCTCAAGTGTGGCTGTGTAGTGGACAAAGCCCTGGATTAATGGTCAGAAAACTTGGGGTCCCACCTGCCTCCGCTGCTCAGTGTGACACAGAGAAGTCACTCTGACTTTAGATGAAGTTTCTTCATCTTTAAAAAGTAGAGAGAGCTACCTGTCGTTATTCCCTACTAGGGTAATTGCAAAGATCTGTTCAATGTTACTTTGAAGAAGAATGCTCTGCAGAAGATGATAATAAGGACTTCCATTTTTAGATGAGCTTAGGAGGACTTTGGTTTGCACAAGACTGTAATAAATTCCTATTGTCCATTTATTTGTTTTTAGGGCACCATAGTTGAATGTCTCCTAGCCCTCCTGCTGGGAAATGCTGATGGCAGGCGTCCAGACAGCTGAGCCCCACTAGAAACCAAGAAAGCCCATGCCTCTGGCTGCACCTTTCAACATGACCAATCCACAGTAAGTGACCCTGGGAGCCACTCTCCGCAGCGCTGAATCGACATCTCAGAATCGTGAGCGCCCTCAGAGCTCCCTCCTAGCCCATGGAGATGGAGGAACTCCAGGGAGTTATCCCTGAGTCCGACAGCTAATTAAAATCTGCTTGTTTTCTAAGTTGTCTCACATCATCTTTTTTTTAGTTTAAAAATGTAGAGTAATTCTGCAGTTCAAAACTGTTGCTGTAAACTGCCCTTAAGGTCAGGATTTCTCTAATTCAGGCAACCTCTATGCCTGTTTTCCTTGCCAGAGGCCACAGAAAATGCAGAAAGCTTTCAAAAGCAAACCTCAAAACAAAATTAAGAACTGCTTACAGTGAATTAACAAAAGGGAATTACAAGGAGATTTAGAAAACATGAGAGGGAAATTTAGACATCAACTTGATTCTAAAAGCAAGTTTCACGAAACCAGGACTGTCAACTGATCTGGGCTGCACGTGACTCTGCCTCTGAATGTCCTCCTCCCCACAGAACTGGCTGGTCACTTTCTAATGGTGTGTTGGAGGTGCATAAAAACCAGCAGAAATTCACATGTGCCTCCTCCTGCCTCTGCTTGTGTCTGCCCAAATCCTAGTAGTGAGAACAGGTCACGTGACTGAATGAAGAATCAAGGGTTGGGGAAATAAACGCTTCTTATGATAGAAGAAGCTGCCAGTGAGGGTGAAAAATGGAGGCATAATACAAATGACCCTTGAACAATGTGGGTTGGAACTTTGCAGATCCACATATACATGGGGATACAGCTGGGTTTGCATCCACAGATTCAGTTAGTCAATATTAGCAGCTCACTGAATCTGAGGATGCAAAACCATGGAGATGGAGAGCAGATTGTAAGGTCTTGAGCATCTACAGATCTTGGTATTGAGGGGTCAGGGATGTCCTAAAATCAATTCCCCAGGGATATTAAGGCCGGACTATAATTAAGTTTTGGGAGAATCAGAAGTTATATGGGGGGAAGGGTTGACTGCACAGGAGTTGCTGCCTCAACCCCCATGTCCATGGATCAGCTATAACTGCTGCCCACCACGCTGCCCATAATTATAGGTAAGACCAGGGCTTCATCTAAATCCTCAGGCTGTGCATTGAAGGCCACTCACTTCCTCCTGATAGACATGTGACCAGAGATGGTGCTGGGCACCTGTGATAGGAGGGAGTCTGAGGGCAGGAAAATCAGGAGAGCAGATGGCCTTGTTCCACAAACACAGCCACATCCTCTTCAGCTCATAAGTTTGCCAGCCCTCCATGACCATGCCATTGTTCATAAAGCTCAATTTGGTCAACTCAGTAAGCCACAGTTTGCTTGAGCAGTCCAGAAGAAACGAGAGCAGCACCTACTTTTTTGGCAACATCTGAAGGAGCTGGAATTTCCCCACATAAACACCCACATTTTTATTTCAACTGTTGAGAGACATAGAAGTCTCACATCCTGTGCCTTTCCTGTCTGACAATCTTGAGTCATTTTGTAAATGACATACAATTGTGAGTACTATTATCAGTACTTGATAGGTAGCAAAAAAGCAAAAGTTTAAGTAAGGCCCTCTAAAGAGAATTAAGACATTGAATATGATTTTGGTAAATTCAGACAGTCCTGGCAACCGACTTGGAGCATTCAAATATATATTTTTTAATCCAATTTTTTTCCTGCAATTAATCTGTATAATTCAATGAAGAGGCTCAGCTCTAAACTTTCTGAAAAACTGCCACAGTGTATTGTTGGTTAGATTTTCAATAGTGGTTGGAGAAAAAAGTTTAGAGCTTGCCACCCAAGTAGGGACTTGTCAGGCCTTTCAACCTGCTCCATATTCCTCTTCCCCATGTCTAGTCACAGCATGAGAAGGAATGCTGTGGAGAGCCTCTGTTTCATTTTCTCAACATATCAGCCAGACTCCCACAGAAATTGTGCTAGAGTTAACACCTCAGCCCATGGGCCATTTGTAGATTGGGCTGCCTCCTCAGTATTACAACAAGCCTCTCATTTTCTACTGGAAGAAAAAGGGAGGAACCAAAGTGAAATCATCTCTCCCAGCCCTTCTCAGCAAGGTGCTGCTGGCATGTGTTGATGCCTCCATCTCATGCACATCGCAGGATGTGGAATGTCTATGCCTACTTATGTCAGTAGTGGCCTCCAATGGTCATCGTGGCCACCAAAAATGCCTCTACAAATTGCCAAACACCCCATGGGAGATGGGAGGTGGGAAGTGCCTGGTAGAGGTGTCTCTCCACACCATGGATTTTAGAGCAGTTCAAGTGGAAAGGGAATTGCTACCTGGGTCCACTGCCCCTCCCCCACCCTGTCCTCATAGCCCATGGCCCACCTGGTCTCTCCAGGTCTCCAGTCAGCCCCATAAACGATGGAGGAAGCAATAGTAAGGAGGCATCACAAGACTGACTCACACAAGTAGTCAGGGGTAGAAGGGATTAGCATAGCCATGGACCCAAATATAGAAACCAAGATCCTTAGGCACCAATGTCTTGGTTACAAAGCATAAGATCAGGCCCTCCCTTGTGGCACAATGGGTTAGGACACAGCACTGCAAGCTGGCCACAGCCACTTCAGTGCGAGTTCAATCCCTGACCCTGGAGGTGACCACATGGCGTGGCAGACCTCTCCTGACCTGCCCTCTGCTCCTCTCAGCAGTGTACTTCAGTGATCTGCCTGTTCTGCTCCCCACTCTGTCTCTGGTGAATCCTCTTGCCACCCCTGCACATCAGGTTTGTACTCCAGTTCTGTATGAATAAATAAATAAATCTTTAAAAAATAATAAAGTATAATATCAGAGCAAGTAGCAGACTGCTGTAGGCTGTGTCTATCACAGACCCAAAAGGTGAAAGATAAGGATATGGAGATTGTGAACCCATTGTGGGGTCTCCTGTCCCTTTCAGATTCTATTCAATATCATCAACCCTAGGCTCACAAGGAGTGAGACCATCCCAGAGAGGAGATGTCTGTATCAGGCAGTCTCTGCACTAGCTCTGGACAGCAGTCCTCTGCTCACCTTTGACTATGTGGGTGCTTCTTTCCACCCACTCTCTCCCTGTGCAGGGCAGAAAACTCCTGCCTGCCTGTGATCTGTACTATGCCGGGCCCTCTTTGCACTAACTCCCCTCAGTGGAGACCTCTCTCCTAAGGTCGCTCACCTGCAACCATGCAGGCCTCTCATTAAGCCTGTCCCTTCCAGGCAGCTCTTCCTGCCCACTTGTGCCTATGCAAGTGTCTAATATTCCTGTCCTTTTCCCTAATAAATCTGCTCTTCAAATATAACTAGGTCTCTGTTTTGTGGAGAAACACCTGGAGAACTCACCACATGCCGCTGAAATGGGAGCTCTGGTGAAAGCTTTCCCAGAGTGAACCCAAGGGCCCCGCACTAACTACAGAAACAACATCACATCTGCTACATGCTTTAATCTTATGCTTTGTAGGCATTGGCACCTAAGGATCTTGGTTTCTATAGCTGGGTCCATGCTAATTCCTTCTACCCCTCACTCCTTCAATTGTTACAGGGTAGCCCAAAGTGGGTTGGGCTGCCTGTCTGTGGGGCCTCACCCGCATGCTCACAGTTCAGTTGTACTGCAGGTACACACGAAAGGGTCAATAGCGGGTTTATTTACAAAAGGGGAAAGGAATAGGAAACAACCCAGAAAAAGAGAGCAGGATACAAAGTAAGTGGAATATCTTACGGCTAGGCTGACTGAACACACAGAGTCACGAGGTCAGGAGAGCTGCTTCCCAAGCAAGAAAGCACGAGAAGCAATCACGCCCTATTTATCCCCCCAGATGTCCCAGAATTCCTGCTAGCTCCGCCCTTGGGTCCTTGCAGTTCTCTCCCTGGTACTGCTGGGAGTTGTCGTTTCTAATCACTGGAGTAGGGTGTAGGGTCCAGAAAGCTGGAGTAGGGGTGGAGTCCATAAGACTCTGCAGAGTTCCTTTAGGACATCCTTCCCCTCAACAGTATGAGTCAGTCTTGTGATGCCTCCTTACTATTGCTTCCTCTATCACCACCAGTGAACAAAAACCTCTTTTGTATTAGGAGACAGAGGTAGGAACGTTCCAAAGGACCTTTACAAAGGAGCCCAGAAATATTTAACAGCACATCATCCAAGATGAAGTCCAGTGACCAAGAAGCCTGAATGTTTCAGCCCTAGTGTTGCTGGTTGGCTATCCATCCATCTGGGTCATTCCTTCCCCTTGATGAAGGATCCTGCCCACAAAGCTCCTATTTTCAAGGCTTACTAATTCTTTTTCCCATTCTTCCATGCTGGTGAAGGAGACAGTGGGGACCTCTGTCCAGTCCCCTGGTGTGTCTGGAAGAATGGCTGCTGCCCCCCCCCCCTTGCACCAGCACTGCTTAGATTTGCGCCTTCTCCATCCTTTCCCTGGGTGGTGGAAACATTGTTTTTTGAGAATGACTGCCCTGTTGTCCTCTTCGCAACTCAGGCCTGCCACAGAAGGAGGAATTTCCGAAGTTGAGATCATCTCCCAACAAGTAGAAGAAGAAACCAAGAGCATTGTTCCTGTGCAGCTGGTGAACTTTGCGTACCGGGATTTGCCCCTGGCTGCGGTTGATCTCTCCACAGCGGGCTCACAGCTCCTGTCAAATCTGGATGAAGATTACCAAAGAGAAGGGTAGGTGTCAGACTGTCAACTGGCCCCAGGTTTCCTGGTTCCCACAGGGAGCCCACACAAAGATCAGGGAGGCTGAGTCTCAAGAGCCATTCACTTTGGCTACTCTGGCCTTTTCTCTGCACATGTTTGTCGCCACTAGGCAAGTTTTATGTGACATGTGCTTGAAACTCAGAAATCAGGCCATGTTTTAAGGCTAAAATGCTCTGTAACAGCCCATCAGGCCCCCTCTCTGCCTCTGATCATGGGAATCAGAAGACCCACAGGGATTATGAACTTGGCCAAGCTGACCGAGACTAAACTGCACTTGCCTTTTATCACCTCTCTGGGGAAGAGATGGAGAGAAACCTCTGCATGCAGTAGCCTGCTCAGTGTGGAAGGGGTGATAGCCGCTGATAAGGAGGTGGAGGACACTAGCTCCCCCTTTCTAGCCAGGCCTAGTTGGACATGTTGGTCCCTGATTCTCAGGAGCAGCTTCTACTTAGATTGTTGGTCAGAATGGATTCCTTTTTCCCCTTCTCATTAGCCTGGTCTGTCTTATAAACTAGACTTTCTGAAGGTGAGTATGCTACAGGGCAGGGAAAGAGGGGCACCAGTGAACCCCCAAATCTGCCTGCTCTAAATAGATTCTGCCATCCGCCGCATCAAGACAAAACATAGAAGATGTTAATGAAAAGGAACTTTAATACAGTGAGTATACAATACAGAAGACAAAGAATGTAACACCTGAAGTTACCCATCCCCTCGTGGGCAAAAGTCCATCCAAAAGGGATTGGCCCAAAGCAAGGCCTGAAAGCTGCCACAAGCTTAAAGCACCTCTGGTCAGGACCCATAGACAAGGGTCAGACATGGCCAGACAAGTCTGGGAGGAAAAGAGCAAAATCAAAATCAATATAAACACTGCCATAGTCAACCTCCCCACAAGTCTGTCACTGCATCTCTTTCAACCAGTCCAGGGCCAAGAAACAAGCATGGTTTCTTCCTCACATGCTTGCTGCTCCATGTGGCTTCCTGAAGTCTCCTTCTGGCTCTCCATTCTGCTTTCTTCTTTTTCCTCTTCAGATTCCTTCTCTTCTCTGCTTTTTCTCTTCTCAGCTCCACCTTCCTCTGAGTGGGGCAGGGAACATGGAACTTCCCCCTTTTCCTAGGACCATCCTGTTACAAGTGGAGTGTTAGCACTGGTGGGGGGAGGGGAGGTTGACCAGTTTTCCATGGGGGACATCTGGAGGCTAAAGAAGGGCAGGAACTGACCCTGGGGTCATACAGGTTTCCAGGCCATCCTCAGCCTACCCATTGCTCTTAGCTATAGAATTGTAGACATTGGCCAGGAGTCAAGGAGCTTGAGCTACTCTTTCTCAGGTGCCTGCAAACACTGACTTTGAATATTGAAATGAAGACTTCCCCAGTTGAGAAGCCAACAAAGAGAAGCCTTAGCTACAGTTGAATTTGCAGAGCTGGGATTCCCAAAAGGACACCCCTACCCCCATTCCGGAGATACAGTCCCTAGCAATGATGAAGCCAGACACCATCTGCAAAAACTGCACCCCAGTGGCCTTCTCTGAAAATAGAATTTTCTGCAAGTACTGTGTATAGAGTCAGCAGGAGATTGTAGGAAGAGGTCAGAGGGAATGAGGTGGCTAAGGGGAATTGGAGGTCCTCACGGCCTCCGAGCCAGGGCAGCCGCGTGCACACTGATGCCGTGCACTTAGTTGAAAGTGCTGCAGCAGCCATCTTGAAACTGATCTGTTTGGACAAAGCTGCAAAACCTCTGAGGCTTAGCAAATTCTGCCCCAAGCGGGCCCTGCCCTGAGCCCAGGGTCACAAGGCACTGCCCTCTGGTGGCCAAAAACACTAGTGCACTCAGCCATTCCAAGCGCTCATTTCCAAGGCCCTTTCAAAGATTATCACCAAAAAAAAGCCTCAAGGCTCCCCAGGATTCTTGAGCAATATCTGCATCCTGTGACCACTGTGCCAAGGGTGCCCCAGGGCCTGCTCCTTCTCCAGCCTGAATTGGGGAAGGCAGACAGAGTCCCTGCTCTCCCTTTCCTATTCCTGCATTGGGCCTCTGCAAGGGTGTGCCTGACAGGAAGAATACTGATGAAGAGCCCTGAGGCAGAGAGGCTCTTGACTTGATTGCAACCCTCAGGTATGCCCTGGAGAACCGCTCCAGACGCTAAATAGGAAGCAGCCTGGGGAGGGTTTGCCTGGCTGGCTCTGTGGGATACCAGGGCAGGAGAGGGCTTCCTGGAGGAAGGAAGCAGAGGCATGGGACAGCAACCAGGGGCAAAGGAAGCAAACTTGAAAAGGGGGGAAGCTTAGCTCTGGATATATTTCCCAGGGTTTTCCCAAATTTTCCCACCTGCCTCTTCTCAAGCTGTGAAAAAACAAAAAAAAAAAAAACAGCATTATTACACTTTGGGTAGGTCTTTAACAAACTTCAGTATAAGTCTCATCAGAAACCTTCCAGCTAGAGCAGCCAGGTACAGGCGTGACTCTTTTCCTAAGTAAATGAAGAGAAGCCAGCAAGCTGCCTGGTAACCTGAGCCGAGCATTAGAGCTGGGGCAACCTGAGAAGCACTATCCTAAGTATTTTAATAGGACAGCAGGGTCCAGCAGATAGAAGGAAAGCACCTGACATCAAACAACAGAAACAGAAATAAAGCCCTGTCGCCTGGTCCAAGCAGCACCACAGCTTCCATTTGTCACCTGTCCCCTCACATGTCACTGCTGTGACTTTGCGCTCTAGTATGTGCTAGGACACTGCTGCCAGGCACCTTTGATATTTGGTGGGCTCTGGTGGCATTGCCATGGCCCCCTCATTGTGGGAAAAGCCCTCAGCCCAGGTGGAAAGCCCACTCTCGGTTAAGCTCTGTGAGTCTTGTCCAAGCCTCTGTCCTTCTGATACAGGGCAGGGAAAGGGACACCACTGAACCCCCAAAGCTGCCTGCTCGAAATAGTTTCTGCCATCTGCCACATCAAGACAAGACATAAGAGCTTTAATGGAAAGGAACTTTAATACACGAGTATACAATGCGAAGACAAAGAATATAATTTCTAAATCAAACACCTGAAGTTACCCATCCCCCTCCTGGGCTAAAGTCCACCCAAAAGGGATTGGTCCAAAGCAAGGCCTGAAAGCTGCCCCAAGACTAACGCACCTTCTGGCCGGGACCCATGGAAAAGGGTCAGAAATGGCCAGACAAGTCTGGGAGGAAAAAGAAGAGCAAAATCAAAATTAAGACAAAAGCTGCCATAGTCAGCCTACCCACGGGTCTCTCGCCCACATCGCTTTCAACCAGTCCAGGGCCAATAAATAAACACGGTTTCTTCACATGTCTCCCTTTGCTCCATGCGGTTTCCTCAGGTCTCCTTCTGGCTCTCCACCTTGCTTCCTTCTTCTCAGATTCTTTCTCTTCTCTGCTTTTCTCTGCTCAGCTCCACCTTCCTCTGGGTGGGGCAGGGAACCTGGAGTTTCCCCTTTTGCTGGGCACACCCTGTTATACTTCTGAGGGGCCTATCCTGCTAGTGGAGTCCTTACTACAGAGCTTTCTGCTGATCTAGCCTCTTCCTTCTACACTGAGGCTCAGGGAGGGAAATCAAAAAACTGCCAGTCGCCCCCAGCTCAGGCACCATAACCAAAGGCCAGACAGGGACACAGAAGCAGAGATGTGTCTCTCATAGTGTGGAAACAAGAAGTCCGAAGTCAAGATGCCCAGGGCAGGTGACCGGTATGACTGGCCTAGTAGGGGGCAGGTGAGTACCTTCTGTCCATGGCCTTTCCTGGTATGCTTTCTCCCTCTCTTTAAAACAGTACTAATCCCACCTGTTATCTCCTTTTCCCAGCCTCATCTAAACCTCAGGCCCTCCCTAAGGCCCCACACATGAGTTTGGGGGAACACATGTCTTCAATCTGTAACAGTGCTCCCAGGCTCAGGATCTCAAGACTTAACTTAGGGTTCACTTTCACCTGATGGCTCAGCTCTGCCTCCTGGTTCTCAGGGGGCTATTTCAGACCCCCCCCCCCCACTCACCTTCAAGCCCCTCTTGTCCTCAGCAGGGACCTGCTCTCCTTCCTCAGTCTGAAGCCATCATGTGTCAGCTGCACTGCCCTCGCCCCTTGCCGCCTCCCACCCAGGGCCACACATCTCTGGGCTCCCACTTTTTCATGAACATCCCATCGGTTATGTCCTAGCTCAGGTTTCTCAGACCCTTCCTCAACTCCTAGTCCCTGCGAGCCACAACCCTCTCTTCCTTACTACCTGCTGCCACGTTCTCAGAAATCTCACCTGCACTCAGTATTATGGAAACTGCTCTCCTGAAGGTCACTTATACCTCCTTATCACTGGGGTCCCTTTGTCTTCTTCACACCACACCTTCTTTTTTGAAACGATTTCCCATTCCTGCTGCTCCACTATACTCTCAAAATACTTCCCACCCCTCTGGCTCTTTCTTCTCTGCCCTTTTCTTTGCTCAGACCAGAAATGTTGGGGTTCTTTATCTTCTGTCCTTGACCATTTTTGCTCTACTAAATCTACACATTAGGTGATTTCACCTAGTTCCCATAAAAGAAATTCATCCTCATTTGTGGCTCTCAGAGCCATGTCTGTATTCCAGATCTTACTCACAAACTCCTGGCTTGGGTCCACCTACTTCCAGGTCATCACAGTGAAGCAAGCTCACCTCAAAAACCTAAAAGGGGTCAGTGTAACCACTGGTTCTCCTGTCAGAGTTGGCTACACATTCGCTTCCTCCAAGTCATTGCTACAGATAGCCTATTCAGGGTGCTTGCTGGTGGTATGAAAGTTAAAGCACAGTACTATGAAGGAACCCACAGCCACTGCAGCACAAGTTCAATCCCTGGCCAGGGATGGCACATCAGACCTCTCCTTTCTTGCCCACTGCTCCCCTCAGTAGTGTAGTTCAGTCAGTCTTAGTGTTCTGCTCCCCACTCTGTCTCTGGTGAATCCTCTTACTACACACACCTTTGGCTTGTACCCCCAGTT